AATATTTTATTTTGTTTATTTAGATTCACTAGGACAGTGAACAGTTGGAGATAGGAGAACTTGAGGACATCATGAATGTATTTATAGGTGAGACTGCTGTCACACTTTTTACTCCAGCGAATCTGATTGTTCAACCTTCCTGAAAATGAATGGCTTCTGGTGGCTTTGTCACTGCAAATCAGTGCCAGTGTGTCGGCCTCTTAAAGTCAACATGAAATTAAAATGGAGTCTATTTGCTTTCATAATCCATCTTTATCGTATTATTTTGAATGATTCATTAGTGCATGTTATTCCCAATAAAACAATTTCTTATGTAAAATGACTTTCCTTTTTGGCTAATGGCATTTCAACTTATTCCATTCCCACTTCCCTTGGTCCAATGTGGAAAAAAATAAAACCATGTCCTATATTTTTATTGATAAATGTAGTTTTTTCGAATGCAAATGTATAATATGTCATGTTAACTTTAAGACCAGGGACATTTATGTGGAAAACAAATGGGGTCCATTATGAAATGACCAGGTCAATCCATTGTCATATCCTGAGATTCATCTTGGGACATTTTAACAATTTAATGGCTATCTGAGGTTGGCCTGTTGAAAAACTGATCTGAGAAATAGTGAAAAATCCTTGAAAGGGAAGGTTTTGAGATGGAGGTAACCTAAAGAGAGCTTTTATGTTTGTTTTCTTGCTGTTCCTGGAAGAAGAAAAAAAGTATTTGGGCTACCAGACTGTCTGATTTTTTTCACAAGAATAGCACCATCCCTTTGAAAGCCATAAAAATATTTTGTTTGATCAGATCTGGTCCTATGCAGTTGTATAAACAGATACAGTCACACATATTTCCATAGTAGCTCAGTGACTGACCCAAATATTACCTTTAATGCAGTGTGTCATGTAGCTGTATGTGAACATAAGACCAGGGACATTTATGTGGAAAACAAATGGTGTCCATTATGAAATGACCAGGTCAATCCATTGTTATATCCTGAGATTCATCTTGGGACACTTTAACAATTTAATGGCTATCTGAGGTTGGCCTGTTGAAAAACTGATCTGAGAAATAGTGAAAAATCCTTGAAAGGGAAGGTTTTGAGATGGAGGTAACCTAAAGAGAGCTTTTATGTTTGTTTTCTTGCTGTTCCTGGAAGAAGAAAAAAAGTATTTGGGCTACCAGACTGTCTGATTTTTTTCACAAGAATAGCACCATCCCTTTGAAAGCCATAAAAATATTTTGTTTGATCAGATCTGGTCCTATGCAGTTGTATAAACAGATACAGTCACACATATTTCCATAGTAGCTCAGTGACTGACCCAAATATTACCTTTAATGCAGTGTGTCATGTAGCTGTATGTGAACATAAACTATCTGCAAAGTTGTGAAGCCGACAGTGCACGATAAATAAAGTTATTGTCTATCAAAAAAAGAGTCGGCTCGCAATCGCCTAAACGAGTCGTCAGGAATTCGAATCTTATTCTGTTACGGCTCTACGTCACGAAGTAACACATTTGCATAATGTCTGTCCACGTTCTACGTTGCCAACTTGCCCGCCCACAAACAGTAAAATATCTGTGTGGTTAACATCATGTCGAGAAGACGCTGTATCCTACGCTGTGAGAGTAAATTTGTTTTATCATATCTTATAATTACCACAAACTTGTTAACACTTGACACTTAACACTGAGAAACGTCCTGCTCCAGTCGTGCTTGCGAATCAGTCTCTTGTCGATCAGCCACTTCAACCGTTTCATCATCAGACTCCGGCTCGAATTGGTAAGGTACAATTGATACCATCTTTTCTATGTATTGACAAGTCTCCAGAGCTGTCATTCCGTCATGGCAATGGGCGTTTCGTTTCCGACACACGCTGTACGCGGTAGACCAATCCAGAGCCAATCTCTCTACGGCTCTGGACCAATCACAAAGGACTGCGCCATCTGACCAATCACAGCAGTGAGGGCTCACGGAAAGGAGGGGTTTAGAGAGACTGATTCTTTGAACTGCTTCACACGAGTCGTTTACGAATCATTTCTGTGGCGAGGACATACAGTCACAGTACTGGGCGTTTCGTTTCCGACACGCGCTGTACGCGGTAGACCAATCCAGAGCCAATCCCTCTACGGCTCTGGACCAATCACAAATGACTGCACTATCTGACCAATCACAGCAGTGAGGGCTCACGGATAGGAGGGGTTTAGAGAGACTGATTCTTTGAACTGCTTTGCACGAGTCGTTTACGAATCATTTAGAAATGAGGTAAAATTAAATCTATTTTTTGAGAAAACTAACGTGTTTTTTGACCTCGCATGCATGTAAACCTGTTTTAGGAGACTCATAAAACAATATTAGTAACCTTAAAAATGGCATAATAGGGGCACTTTAAAGTAACCCAATTTGGCAACACTGCTGAGCGTTCTTGTGTTTTGCAGGAGGCGTGGCTTTGCAGAGTGATTATGCAGGGAACGTAGGATCTTGCTTTCAAAGCTAGCTTGCTATTGCTAGCCTCTCCGAAATCACCTACCCTACCTTTAAGACCAAAATACGAACAGTTACAAAAGGAAAATGCCAAGAACTTTGGAATGAGGAGTGAAGAGGAAGACATCTTCATATTCAAAATCAAGTTGTGGTGAGAGAGGGAATTTCAATAATGTAAGAGAAGACACAATCATTACCAGATTTCGCCTTAGACACACAGCTCTAAATTATTCCCTATGTATAGAATGAACAAACATGAGTCTGGGAATTGCATTATTTATGGGTCAGCAGAAACTGTAGAGCATGTACTAAAATATTGTACTGCTTATGAAAGAGAAAAGGGCATATTTGCTGGAAGAATTAAGAGAAATGGGGATAGAAAATCTTACACTTAATTCACTGCTGCATAATGGATTGAACCATCATAGAATATAGAATACATTAATGGGATAATTAAGAAAAGGAGGTCTGTTTAATAGGATTTAGAGGTTAAAAATAATTTTGTTTTTCTTACATCACTGTTCCACACTCCAGCCCAGTAGTTGGTGGTAATGCACCCATCGTTTGTTTGCAAACCACCATAAAACACCAAAAGAAGAAGATTGTGTAGTTACTGCATCTACCAGCAGGGGTGAAGTAGCATAGACATAATAAATACCTAGACGCCTCATTGGCCGCTCGACCGCACGTCAACGTCGCCGCCATATTGGTGAAGGCAACTCTCATATTGGGACAGGCGAAAACATACCTGACTCGTCGGCAGCTTGGGCATCTGAAAAACCGTCGCACAATAATAAAAACAGATCTCGGGGTATTATCTTTCACAGGTAAGACTGAACAGTTGTTTCTGTATGTTTTTTGGTCATTTTTAGCTTTATGTTGACAGCTTAATTAGCCACCAGTGTCAGACTATTAATAGCTAGCGATATCGCTAGTAAGCTGTGAAAGCTGAGACTTTATATGAAATCAAAGTTTAAACGCATTCTTAAGTTTTAACTTTTATATTGTAGTTTATATCATAAAGTAAATTGTGTTATGAGCACAATATGTACAGTGAGCACTTTGACAAGACAATACCAGACTGTCAGGATTAGCGATGGAGCTAAATCATCTCTCTTTAATTTCACTAATTACAAAGAGTAAGTTTATCATCACTTGATTATATAGATTTCATAGCTTATCATAAATCTGTGGACTTATTATATATATATTTGTCCTTTTTAGCCAATTGCAAACAGGACAACGCAAGCCTTAAGGAAAGCTGAAGAAAGCCTGTTCTCTGCATTTCCAAGAGAGTAGGCTATACTTCCACAGCCTAATGTTGTATTAGTACTAGTTAATTAACAGAATAGCCCTGAATGAATGGCCAGAATTACCCTGGTCATATTCAAACCACACACTCTCTCTCCCCCCCTTACTTGTTTCTTACTTTGTTTAATCATTATTACACAATACTATTATAAATCTACATTTCATGATTATTTATTTTACTTTATAATTTACTATTAATTTATTCTTCATTATTGTCTATTCTGTATTATTCCACCCTTGATATTACATATTCTACTTGTTATTATTCATCTATTGTTATTTATTTATTATGATATTATACATATAATTTGTGCTATTGTAAATCTATTATATACTGTTGTACTCGCTTTTTATATTATTCACTTTACTACAACTTGTACTACATATACTTTTTAATATTACATATCACTTTTACTGTGCACTGTATCAGTGCATAATATTTTACCACTGTAACTGTAAGTTTTACTGGATCCACAAAGGATTATCAGTTGCATTTGTTATTGTTTGTTGTGGTGTTTATCTGTGTAGAGTCCTATCAAAAAAAAAAAAAAGCAGACTACCAAGTGTCACTTTTTGATTTGTATTCGCTGGTTTTATTCAATTTTCTCAATGATGGTAAATTATTAGTGCTTAAAGATGTATTATTTTGATTTTCTTCCAGTATTTCAAAGGGAATGAGCTGTGTTCTGACCTGAAGCACAAGAAAAGCTAAAATGTTGGGGTTGAAGACAGAGAAAGCAATGAAACAACTTAATTTAATTACATTCAAATGACAAAATATGTATATGTCACAGTTATACTACATTAACATTAGAATTGTAAACCGAAAAAATCAATCAAATCAACAAGTGAGACAAGTGTGAGTTCTCACAATTTCTTGCGAAAATTAATAATTTTCCAAACCTAACTAAATAACTGTGAGTTATTTTTAACTCCATGTAGATCACAAACCTCTGAAATCGGTTGATAAATGTAAACGTTATCGTGTTTTTATCCAGAAAAAACCGCAGCTCCTCCGTTTACCTCAATTTATTTTTAAGGCAGTCTTGCCTTCACAAACATGGCACGCGTTGACGTATCGCAGCAACGGCTCAAAGCGGCCAATGAGGCGTCTAGGTATTTATTATGTCTATGTGAAGTAGCCCATGTCCCCTTTCCTTAAACAGATTACACCATGATCCAGGAAGTGACATCAATTTGGAGGGAAACCAGTACAAACATCACCAGTAAGTTTCGGCAATGAACTGGAGTTCGGTAAGGTTTTTTTTTTCACTGTTAAACATCCATCCTGTTTGAAATTAGTGATGGGAGAAACTTTAAATAAATTGAACCAATTGCTTTGCGAATTGATTCACTGTTTTGAAGTCCTCGAAACACCACACGCTGATGACTCCTGCTGGTCAAAACTCTAAATGCAGCAAAAACTCAGGCCAACATATGCATAAAAACTACTTTTACAAACCCATTCTACTCCATAGTCCATAGTCTATAACTCTGTCTCTCCAGGGTTTTATATGTTGTCAGGCAATCAAGCGTTTATTTGGGCCACTCAATCTGCAGGTAAGACTTTTCATTGCGTGTCTATAGCCTTTGTTTTATTCATCTGGGCACATTTCACAAAGGACAGATGGTTAAAAATTAATCCTGTCTCATGCACCTTGATTCCTGGTGTAGGAATGAGAATGTCAAAATGAAAGAAAGTTACAATAAAGCCATGACGTTTCCCGCTGAGACTTGTGCGCTTCTGAGGCCTCGACTGATAAAGCTCAATCATTCATGCAATCTGTGGACCAAAATACAGCAAGCTCTCCAAAACAGCAGCATCACTTATTCAACGGCTTTCATTCCTGGGTTAGGTATCAAAATTCTGACAACTCAGAAGATCAGTTTTCAAAAAGCAGCTTCTGTGTTAGATCAGCCCAGCTGTCATTTTACCTGCAGCTTTTGGGCCAGCGTGAACCCGTCGACACAGCTTGTGTTCGGTTTGTTACCTGCGTGCCTTTTCAGATGGAGCGGAAAATAAATGTGACCTGCACTGACAATGGACAAACCGTTATTGTGCACCAGCAAAAAGAGACAAATAAAGCGAGCATAGGCGACAGACTCTGTAAATCAGAGAATGATGGCCAATCATTTTCTCAAAGCTCTTTTCAATGGAACGGCAATGAACCTTTTTGGAGAGTCGTTATGGTCAGTTAGCTGTTTTCTATTTGGAAAAGTCATTAACACTTTTCATTGTCACAAGAGAAGCTATGAGACGAGAAGCCAAAGATATATAGAGCTCTATATGTGAAAGTTTACTGCAGTGAAGAGTTTTGTTTCTCTCCCTGAAGAGTCTGGTGCACTCCTAATCGTTTGATACAGTGCAGGTTGGAGTGTGTAGAGAAAAAAAACCTTACGAGGTGATTTATCTGTATGGATCGGCTGTCAAAGAGATAAATCGAGGGAGGCATTGGGTGGAAACATAATAGCGCATTGTATGTTGCAGGCCTGTCTCTGGCATCTGGATATATTACACTGTAACTTTTACAACCAGAACAACGGCCTCGGCTTTTGTAAACTGAGAAGTCAAAGTTAAAAACCTAAAATGCAACATAATGTCATTTGTATTTTAATAGAAATTGTTTCTAGTATTTCCTTTTTTTACAGCAGTGTTGTTATTGACTAAAACTATTCAAATAATTTTCAGTAATTTAATTAAAGCTGAAATAAAATATAAATAGTAGAGGAAAAACCTAAACTTAAAAAAAAAAAAATACATGGCTTGGTAAATAACTGAAATAAGTTTAAATAAATAAAAATATTTGATATGTATATATATATATACTTTTTTTATATATATGTTTTAGGCATTTTAAATTTAAGAAAACTGTTCACATTTTTAGTCTAATTATTTTAGTTATCCTCATATAAGATAAAATAGTAAAATCTTATATAGCATGATATTTACCAAATCATTTTATCCATAAACTAGGAGAATCATGAGTCAATTCTGTGAAAATAAATAAACATGATTCCTGAGTGTACTCTACTCTAAAATGAAATCAACTGTTTTCATTTCAGAATGAATGATGAGAGACATTGAGCGTTGTTGACCTTTTAAAGTGCTGGACATGAATGATTTGGTAGTCAAACTTCTGACCAGGGCAAATGAACCTTCCGCTATATGGCGAAGTCAAATACAGCAGGCTGTCATTATGATGGATATCTGCTTTTATAAACAGGAATCGTGAAGCACAGAACAATCTGTTTATGCTTTTTTCATTAGCAATGGCAGCTAAATTTATTATACCTTGCTCACATCTTCACCTGTGTAAAAGATCTCAGTGGGAGGAACTTTTCTTGAAATTAGATAAGTTTGGTAACATTTTGCAACCATAATGCACCTTCTATGTTAAAATTGTGCAATACATTTTCTGCTGTATCTTTTCATAAATAAATTTAATCACAGTTGCAGCATGCACTTCACATGTTTTCCATCTTAAACATCATGCAATATTAATATTGGTTTGAATGCATGTTGCATTGAAAGTATGTTAGTTGTGATACTAATGGTATCCTAAATGTGACCAAAATACTGTACATAAAGCCTTTGTGTTCTGTGGAAGAAATAAATTCATACAGGTTTAAAGGAGTTTTTTTTTTTTTAACCAAAAATGAAAATTTGCTCAGGCCATCCAAGATATAAATGAATTTGTTTCTTCACTGAAACAGATTTGGAGAAATTGAGCATTGCATCACTTGCTCACCAATGTGAAGTGAAAAGCTGCATGTTTGTAAGAAATCATAAAATAAATACATTTAAAAATACCATATTAATCCATATTAACACTTCTTCCAGTGAAAAAGTCCATCCTCTGTTTTCCTCTCACATCAAAATCCAATTTGTTTAGAACTTTTTGACTGTTTTTCACTTGCAAAAGTTGCTTGATATCAAGCGTAGCGTTAGTTCTGGCAGGTCACGTTAGTCAAGCTCGCATCAGCTGACTCTCAGCTGATCCCCATCTACCTATAGGAATACGACACCTATCTAAGCATTCATATATAAGGTCCCTCAGTATTATCAGCAGTTTTCGCATTGCTCAATAGCTAATTACCCTCCTCCATCCCCAGCTCCGCCTCTGTCAGTCGGGATTCAGCCTTCTGACTCTCCTTTGAATCAGACTAATTCTAAAATGTGTACATAAAATGCACTTTAACGATATCTGCAATACATTTATGTTGGTTCTGTTCTGTTTACCCTGGGGGGGTTATCGCTGCTCTCCCTGCTCTCATCCATGCTAGGCTCCATGGATGCGCAGGGAGTTCTTGCCCAGAACAGAACCATACCGCCAATTCAAACTGTATGCTAATTGTCAATCATCTTTGACAATAGTGGACCTGACAGAACTGTGCATATTTCTCTCCTGATTCAGACGAAACGACTTTTTTGAATGGAGAAAGTAATATTACGGAAAGAAGACCCATATTTTAGCTGGAAGCAACGTTTTGAAGTTAAAAATGTCTTGATGAATTTGTTTCTTACAAACACGCAGATTTTCACTTCACAATACGTTAATTGATGGACTGGAGTGGTGTGGATTACTTGTGGACTATTGTGATGTTTTTATCAGCTTAATTTTTGATGAAGAAACAAACTCATCTACATATTGCATGGCCCGAGGGTGAGTACATTTTCAGCAAATTTTCATTTTTAGGTGAACTACGGCTTTAAAACTACACGAGGGTGAGTAAACAGTGACACAATATTTATTTTTAGCTAAACTATTCCTTTAAGTGCCCCACTTTAACCGTATTCACTCTGTGTGAACTGGGATTCAGTCCAGGACTGAGACACAATGGTCTAGTAGGCGTGTGGATCTATCATATTGGCTGACAAGTCACTTAGTAAATCTGTTGCCCTTCAGGAACATTTAAAGAGACAGATGAATTTGCCCTCCGAATACCCTCAAATTGATTATTAGTAATGCAGTTAGCTAACTGAAATGCAAGCCTGTGATGGTTTTAATTGCATTGATATGAATTATAATCGAATTACAGTGAAATGGAAGCAAAAAGCTTTAATAGAGTATGTGACATTATGAAATAATCAAAGATGAAATGAAGCAAGTTTGAGTCTCTCTCCAAGCCTCCCTTTTGTTCTCACGGCTCTTTAGGGACACTTTTGAATGCCAAGTACATGCTGAAAGAGGCAGAACTGTGAGGCTCAGTCTCCTTCTGCTACTTCTCACAGCATGTAATTTCACTAAAGACATGCTGGCAGTTTCCTGGGAACACAAACCGAACTTAATAATAATAATGCACTCAATGAAATATATGCTACATGCCTATTGTTTTGCCTCTCAGGAGCCCAGACATACTGGAGAGTCAGTGCTGCTTAGTTAAGTTTATCTTTATTACTCTTGTTTTATTCATGTAATTTTCATCTTAAAATTAAATTTATACCTTGTATTTCAGATTAGGTTTTAACCTAGGTTTTAAAATGTTATGTTACATTTTTATCTTTTATTTCCATTAATTTGGCTGAAAAGAAAAGAATGAAAAATACATTTTGTTCATAAATACTTTTGTTTATTTATTTATTTCCTCCATAGCACCTTAATAATGTTTAAAAGTCTAAAAGTTTTGTGACCAATTATTAACTAGGGACCAGATACATACTTTTGAATAATTACGATTTTCTTAAAATAATTGTAAAAATAATTACTGACTTTTATTTTTTATATATAGTTTAGAAATAAGTAATATATGTTCTTATAAGTTATGTGTTATATATGTGTATGTGTGTGTGTGTGTGTGTGTGAAAACTGCTTCCTATAAGTGAAAGCATTATGTATTTGTGTGGATGCAGTGTATGGCTTGTTACAAATAATTGCTGTTATAATAATTATTATAATGCATGCAGTTTTCATGACTTCATATTAATTATTAATATTAAGAGACTATATGGAATGTTTTTTAAATTATTTTATGATACACCTTTACGGCAGTTTTTCAGCTTCTATTTATAGTGATTGTGACTGATAATTATGTGCAGAAATGAGAATAAAATGGGATTGCAATCCAAATTTAAACTGCCACCCATCGGAGCTCCATGGCTTAATATATTGCAACACAGCTTTTATGAGCCTTCACTTTTATCTATTTGTACTGTTTTATAAAGTCTGCGGGACACTGTACCTTTTTCTCGCTATTCTTCTATTAATTGAAGTATCACGTCTGGTATTTTGCACTACTATCAGTGGATGGAACAATTGTCAGACGTGAAGGGTGACGGTGCACTAGAGCTCTGTGTTGAGTAAGCACAGGAGCAGGAGCTGCCGGGACCAGATAAAACCACCAACAATAGGGCCTTTCGCACCACGGGAACCTTTTCATAGTACCAGAAGCACAGTCCCTTGTCTCTCTCTCTCCATTCTCATCTTTCTTGTGGTTTGACAGCTAATCACGGCCTATCAGAGAGCAGTTCCTAATATGCGCTTCGCCTTTAGCCAGCAGGCCTGTGCAGTTCATTTCACAACACACAAATGTCAAATACCCAGATGGTGAAGTATGTAAGT